GGTTATAGTGAGAACAGTGACGTCCATTTTCAATACACTCCACTAGACTTACTGGCTTTAGTAGAAACTAAGTGACTTTAATAAACCAGTCTATTCTTTAGATTCGGCTATTTCCAAGAATTTCTGAGGTTATGATACTGTGTACACATACCACCAACCCTTGAGTTTTTTAAGTGCAAATTCTGATAAAGCCTTAGTAGAGAAACTATTTGTTTCTCCCCAAAGGCAACTCTATCCCCTCTTTAGGTAACAAATAATGTTTGCTGAATTAAACTAACTCTTACAAAATTTAACTGTAAATATAACCAACACTAGACCAGGGTGTCAAAAGAATATTTAAGAACTTAACAGGAGGATCTGAAAGACAAGACAGCCGCTCTCTGCGTAAAAGCAAAGGTGCTAACTTGACAGAGGGCAAGGCCTGGGTCGGAGGGGTACCTGCATGCCTACAGCTGTGGCTGGCTGCAGGGAGTAAGGCGGGAATTGCGCTAACGTGTACTCTGGATGTCAGATACCACTAACCGGCCAAACGGAGGCCTTCGTGCAGACAAAGAGGGTGAGGAAATGGTTTCTATTTCTTCCAAACGCATGGAAACACTGCTGGGGTGAATGAATTCACTGTGTCTTCCTTCCAAGATCTCACAGCCAAGAAACACACAACAAACACAAGGCAGAGTTTATTAATTTTTTTCCCTAGAAACGTCTACATTTTCCTTGGGTTACAATTTAGCTTTAGTACGAATCTCACTGCACACAGAAAAAATTTTTTTCTCTGGCTTTTCTTTTTTTTTAAATTTCTTCCACTTCCACTCACCTCTCTAAAATTTTTGTCACTTTGGAATTCGTAGAAATTATAGAAATTAATGTAATCATGTGTTCTACAATGGAAGAAAAAGCAAAGAAAGTGCTGGGGTTCACACTAACACTTACCCCTCACAGGAGGGAATCAGGTTCCCCAAGATCACAAACGGACGACGGCAATGCCAGGGCTAAGAACTCTGAAACATCATAATGAAAGGAGATTACTTTTTTAAATGCCTGCAGAAAGATAGGCGAGTCCTAAATATCCTATCAGAGGTGATCAAAAATAAGAAAAGGAGAAACAAACAGCAGAAAAATATGGCATGATAACTCAGTGAAGGAAGCCCTTGGCTGGAGTTCAGGATTTCACGGTAAGTGTTGGAGTCTTTGGAGCACGGGCAACAGGGCCAACTCTGCAAAAAGGTAAGGTTGGGAAGAGATACAGAATTGTTTTACTTCCCTTCTATGGTTAATTTTTTGAGAAAAAGAATAAGTTCTAACCTCAAATGAAGTTTGATTTTGACTCCTACCTATATTAAAATCACTTACACACAGTTTATTAAAAAAAAAAAAAGAATGTGTGCTGTCATGATAGCACCATAGGCTTTTTAAAAACAAATATTCCCCTAAGAAGTTTTCTTTCTTTTTTTGAAACTTATGAAAAGTAGCACACCAAACCACAGACAAATGAATCTTGCTTCTACTAATAATTTGTCAGTTTCCATGAGGCCAAATAGCAGAAGTACAGACCAGGAGACAGGAAACTTAGTTAAATACGTAACAGGTTCAAAAACACATCCGAAGCCCACCAACTAAGGCAGCTATCTTTACTTAGAGTACTGACTGGTTTCCTCGAAGACAATGTCTCGTCTAATGTTTCTGTTAAACTTAGACAAAGAATGAGAGAACATACTAATCAAGTGTGTAGGTGTCATGGGAGTGGGGAGGAAGACTTAACTGGCACCAAATCAAGGTTCAGTGAAAAAAGAGCACAAAATCATTAAAATAGATAGTACAATTAAATTTAAATTCGTTTTTGCTCAAAAAGGGGAGAAAAAGTGAAAAGAATAGAAGAAAAAGCTGGCCTATTAACAATTTTATGAAAAATAAATTAGCTGGAGACAAACTTCTATATGAGCCCAAGCTGTGATGCGATATCTAAATATGAAAGGTAATACAGTAATAAAACATTTGATGAAGGAAGATCTTTATCATATGATGTTCTGAATGTGGGTAACACAGTTAGACCAAGCTGAGAAGCACTGAGTGTATCCAGAAGACAGACTGGAGCAAGCAGTCAAACATCTGAAGAGCTGTGGGGGACAAGGAAGGAGTGGATGAAGCTACAGGATGAACTTGGCTGCATAAGCTCAGCATTCCCCCTCCTTGCCTCTTGGGCCCATCCAAAAGCAACAAAGAAAATGGAAAACATAAATGAAAGCCTCATTTTCAGCAAAACTAGGAGACGTACTTGAAAATATCTGCAAGGACTTCCAAGATCTCCAGTCCACACAGGAGCCAAGAAGGAGGAAACAAAGAAAAACAGAGGGGAGAGATGCCAGCAGCAGAAAATTCCAAAGAGCATCAAAGGAAGAGCAGGGTACATATGTACAGATAGATTTCTTAAAGATGCAGGACCTGTGCGGGCAAAAGCACTAACTCTCACCTGCAAAGAGGGTTCAGAAACAGGAGCAGGGTGGCAGGAGAAGTCTTCACACCCCAAGGGGGTCTGATTTTTGTGGCACTTGCAAAGAAAGGACATCTGCACTGTGCTTCTCCACAACCTCGACTTTTGGACCATTTTTTGGTCAGTTGCCGATAGAAAGTTAACTTCTTTCAGTCTGACTGTCATTTATCTTAGGAGTACAGCTAGCTAGCTGACCATCTTTATCTACTTTGTTAGTTAATAACAACAAAAGGAACCGAACCCTTCGTCCCCAGACAGCTCTGCTGGAGGCTTTAACACCGATAAAGGGCTAGAAACCGTTTGCGACCCAAACAGCCTCAAAGCACCTTCTGGGCCTACAGCATAGACAATGCTCAATGACTTACGTGATAAAGAGGAGCGATATCACCAAGAGTCCCAACATGCAGGTTTACTCATGCAAGCATTCCCCGCTCCAGCACCAGCTCCAGCTCCCTCCCTGATCAAGAGGTGCAAGGAGGTAACTCTGAGTCTGAACTTCTGCTAAGAAGCTGACGTGAAGGGGCTGATCAACGCAAGTGGGCATCTAGCAGATGTCCCTCATTTTCTAGCCACTACTAGCTAATAAAACAAAATGGCTTTAATTTTCAGACCCTCTCCTTGAACCACTGCCAGCCTTCGCTCTGAAATCCTCACTCCCTACCGAATACAGAGGCTGAACAGTGGACACTTATGTCACTACCGCCAGGACTGAAAGCAGTTTCTGTGGCCTGTGTTACGAATAAGCTCTAGCTGACCTGGTTCTTGGCACTTCAAGTTCTAAACCACCCAACTAACCTGTATCATACGCTTACAGAAGTAGAGCCCACCAGGGAGACAAAGGACAGTAAAGAATACCACATGTTCTAGATTAACGTCAAGAAACGGCCAGAGCCTCAAAACGCAAGCATTCCCATGTAATAAGTCCAAATGGTCAACGTGCAACTGAACGAACCTTGGAAACCACTCTGTCATGTGCAAAGAGCACTGAAAACTGTCTTAAAAATATTACAGAAGAATCTGCAAATAAACTGCAAAAAGAGTCACATAAATAGCAAAGTTGTCCCTACTATAGAGGAAGGTTATGTCCTATGTTTTCTTCCACAAACCCTGGCTGAATATTTCCAGCCTCCTTGTAAGACAGGCACTGTTCCTCTGAAGTAAAGGCAAATTATAGTTTTCAGAATTCAGACTATAAATACAGAAAACAAAAGAAGACTTCCCCCACAAAACGTAACTTAAATAACTTGGGCAAGAGCATATGTTACTAAATCAAACACCATGATATAGTATCAGTATAGATCCAGGCCTTCATTGTTGTTTCAGGTTCTTTCTCTGGTGTGAAAGACAAAGGTGAACCGGAAAGTTGTACGAGTAAAAGGGAAACAGAAAACTATTATGAATGAGAAATTTGAAACTGTGAAACTTATAATAAAAGGCAGTCAGGAAAAGAAAATTAAGAAAAAAAACAAAAACTTGTTTTAAGCCCCTAGTGAAACACAATGAAATAACGTTATAACGTTTCTGTGAACTAAGAACGAAAGAGTAGTGGGTAACCACATTGTGGGCGTTAACAGTATCAACAAGCTGAGCGGGCAGGCAACACAGAGGCATTCCCGCCACGGACAGGCTGGCCATACCAGCAGCCAGATTACCAAGCAGCGTTTGCGTGACACCTAACAGAATTCTTCTCTTCCTCCCTTACTCCTGA